GAGTTGGACGCTTATACAGAACTTGATGAATACAATAGCCCTTAAGGTAGGCTTTTCATCACCTCCTACTGGATGACACTGAGGACCTGAAAGAGGCTGTAAAGACAGGCAGGATTCAGGCACAGCGTCTGGACTCTTATCCACTGTTACACTATCCAGGTGTCTAGCCAAGGAGACATGCTGCCTGCTCTCCAACGAGAGAAGCTTCGGATCCAAAAGACGCACATGAACAGACCCAGGAGACTTGTGATCGGATAGGACGGGAAAGAGTGGCTCCCTGCCTCCGACTGAGAGCCAAATCTAAGTCGGCCTCCCAGTTTGTACAGCACTTTAGAAGTAAAGACACTGAGCAGCGAGGAGTCAGGCCGTGGGTTAACACTAGGAAGCATTGCTCAGAAAGTGTCAGCAAATTTGCCCTTTCAGGAAATGCCCAGCTTCTCTCTTCCATATTTATGAGCTGAACTTCATTATTCTGTAAAAATATTATATATGAAACAAGCAGTTTTAAAGTCAGAAAAAGAAAATATAATGCCGTAGGTTGTAGCGTATCATCAGTCACCCAACTTTGACCATGCCGTCACCATGAGTCAAGGTCGTGTCAGGGCATTGTGTTCGGTTTGATTTACCTGCTACTGTAAACTCTGAACTGGGTGGTGGCTAGCAGTTCACTCCCTGTATTATAAAAGTGCTCCACGAGTCTAGAGTCTTGAACCTGATCAGAAAACTGGCTTCGTGTATTTTCCTTTTGGGTGATCCTTGGTAGTCTTGAAAAGTTAAGGGCTCTTTATATTCAAATTTTTCCACAAGTATATTTCCTGAAAAATAACGATTCTTTTGTGACCAAAATCAATATTGAATCAATCAAATGTGCCTAATGGCTAATAAAGATGGTCTGTTTAGTAATTTTCTTGGCTTTGACAACAATGCCCAAAGTGTACAGAAGCGGAGAAGAACTGTGGTTCGATAACCCTTCAAAGCCCGAGGATGGGTTTTTTCCCTCTCCATCCGGCCGTGCAGTCAGAGCCAGGCCTCCTCCAGAGCTCGCATTGCTATTGACCCACAGCCTGAGCCCCGCTGCAGAGCTGACAAGGTGCTGATGGGTAGTTTCGTTGAGTTGCACCATTGACCAGTGCTCAGCCCACGGCCCATTGTTTGCCCAGTTTGAAGTGATGCCTGCCTGTGTTCCAAGAATCTTTCCATAGTTCTACTTGGCCAGTAAATGTGGGTTACCTCTCCCCCATGGGCCACTCATACATACCATTCTGCTCCCTTCTCCACCCACAGAAGGAAGTAGCGGAGACATGACCTCCTTGATGGGTGGCAGGTGAGGACACTTGGGCACTTGTGGGGTGATGTGGTGGTAGCTTGAATTGAGAAAATCCTGGTCCACAGAAGGCAGGATTAGTTGAAACCATTCCTTGATCCAGGATAGCAGGGGACTGGACTTTTTCCCCCTTCTGCACAAACACTAGTCTTTAGCACCACTTTATGTATGTCAAATGTATATAGACTATTTTGTTTGTGACAGATAACTCTGAAGACTTGCTCGAGAGGTATTGGTGGACCATTCAAACGAAATCTTATAGGATTTGAGGAGAACCAGATATTAGCAGTTATTTTTATAAGTTAAAAAATCTTGTTCTCCTATAGTGACTCCTGTCTAACATTTTGTATATATTTTTTAACATGTTAAATATTGTTTTTGTTCAACCAAGTTCAGAACTTCGTGAATAAGTTGCGTAATGGGTTGGGTGATAGGGTAACACAATGGGAGCCTTTTGTCCAAGGTTGGCACGTGAATAAAGTACCTGCAAATCATAAGAAGAAACAAAATAGCTTTTAAAAAACAAGAATTTTCACATTGGTCACACCTATATGCTCACAGGAATCGGGTTTTAGGCTAGTTGTAGGAGCCTAAGTCACAAGAGTCTGCCAGCATTGCCAGACCTCCCCCCACTTGTGACCTGGAAAATCTCTGCCAATAATCTCTGCCT